CGCGGCGAGTGATGTTATCGTGGTTATGTGCAGCAGGCATGCAGCATCCGTCACTACCCGCAGACTCTCATGTTGACTTCCCCTCAGAAACGTCTTTCATGATACCAGCAAGCGTGAGACAACAGCAATACAAATAATTAAAAAAAGTACTAGTAATGTTGATGATTATGATAATAATAATAACAAGAAGAGTAAAAGTTATATTACTCCTGCTAATAGTAATAGCAGCATTATCATTAACGACAACAGTAACATCAATAATAAAATAATAATAATATTAACAACAACAACAACAACAAAAACAACGACAACAACAACAACCAGTAAGGGCCTATCTGATGCACTAACCTCTCTCACTTCTGGCTAACAACTATATAACTGCATCAGCCGTATAAGCTGACCAGCACTGTTAAATTGACTACGTCACGAATTTTCTATGGTAAAATTTGTAAAATTTTTGTTGCCATTTTTTTACATTAAAAGTAAGAACTAATGGGACTAAACGTATCGTAAAATTCTTACCTGATAAGATTGTTTCTCAACTAGTTAAAAATCCAAAAAACCTGGACGATTTGATATTAGTGTTCCTGACATTAATTGCTTGCTGTGGGCTATGTATGCGTCACGAGTGTATGTTCACATCGAACAATATAGTAAAATAAGAAGTATAATGCAGCAATCTAACCATAAAAAGTGAACAGAATTTATTTTTTATTTTTTACTATTTACGGTGACGTAATCACTTTAAATGGTTTGTTATACAGACCTAGAAGCAGGGTAAAAAATACACGTGAGCGATGAGCGATTCGCTCTTCCAACCTTCGAAGTCGCTCCCGTGAGGCTCAAAATAGCTCGCGTAAAATTTTTGACGAGAGCTATTTTTTCCACACACTTGAAAAAGAGCTCCCGCGAAAGAAAGAAAATGCATTTTTTCCCGGCCTAGAAGGCACTCGAACCATGGCGATGAATTGAATACGGGTGATGGGGGGAGTCGAGCTTCAGTGGCGTGAGAATCGCAATCGGAATAAAGCTTTTGGACTAATTAATGTGAAATCAAACGACGAGCGGCGAGGGAGTAATGAATCGGCACTCGAGAGTCTACCACGTTTTACCACCGGATAGCGTGAATAATCCACCTGTCTGTCGACCAGAAGAGAAGAGAGAAGAAAGAAAAGAGAGGGGGAGGGAGGGACGAACGGACGGACGGACAGACAGACAGCCAGGCAGGCAGACAGCCAGCCAGCCAGCCAGCCATCCAGCCAGCCAGCCAGACAGACAGGCAGACAGCCAGCCAGCCAACCAGACAGACAGATAGACAGGCAGGGTGCGTGAGATAAATGGGGAGAGCGATTCCTACCATAACTGTAAACACCTGCTGTCTGTGACTGACCGAGTATGAATCGCGTCTCCAGCAGTAGCTATCTCATGAACGAAGCAAGCACTCGTGAGTTAGCAAGCTGCGCATCTGCAGTTCTGAAACCAGCAGCTGCCCCCCTGTACTATCCCCTCGCTACGATGTGGCATCCGTGCAGGATGCTGCGCACTCCTCATCCCTCCCGCCACATTAGTTTACGCGAGCGCGCGCGTCGGGTGGTCGTGCGGTGGAGCTCGTGTCGGACCTTCGACGGCCCGCAAAAAAAACGTTGCAGGAAATTGATTCCCGCGAGTCCATTTGTAGAATTGATCGCGATCGTCTGTTCGAACCGCGCTCCTATCCGTCCCCGTAACGATGAAGAAGACGTTTTTGCGCTGGTGGTAGGGGTTGGGTCAGAGGAAGGGCGCGAGCGAGTGAGGGGGAACGTGCGAGGAGGAGATGTGGAGGAGATGGTATCTATTTGGCCAACGAGTTTGGCTTCACGGGGTTGGGGGCAGGGCGCCGCGCTATCTCTGTATATCTCGTCGAATGAATACACAATTATCTTACATTGTCTGTTGTTGTTGCCTTCGTCGCCACAGTGTTTGTTGCTGGTGGTGGCATGGCGTCAGCTTTCTGTTTATCGGCGATATTCACTATTGTCCGGATGCGTTTTTTCCTCCTATGCAACTGTTTCATTCGCTTTGTGGCAATGTCACCATAGATTTCACATGTGTCTAGCATTGCTACTCTTGCTGTCATCATCGTCGTCAACGTTATTTATCGTCCTTGTCGTTAGTTTTGTTGTCGTCGTCATTATCGACATCATTGTCAAGGTCTTCTTTATTTTCATCGTTTTCTGTGCCATCGTCGTCGTCACCATTATTTTATCGTCGTCATTATTGCCATCATCATCGTCGCCTTCATCGTTGAAATCATAATTGAAATCTTCATCATTACTGTCACGGCTGTAACACATAAGCCATATCGGAAAGTCCCTGTCGCCATATTCAGATCAGATAAGAGGGGGTATAAACAGCTCTTTTATAACATTGTTAGGATAGTACTAGTCTAGGTTTTTGATCTAGAATTCTCTTCACTAACATCATACTTCAATTCACAGGTGCGTTTCTGTTTACGTAAGACATTTATAAATATGATTGTGGTCCGTTTGAATATTTTATGCAAGTTGTGTTGAATGCAAAAACTAAAAACGCATACGAGACGAGTGGTTACATTAATCATATACTTTCTTAGCGCGCTCGGCCATTTATTACCTTGCTTTTCTTCATGACCTACATAAGCACAACTGGACTTTCCGATCTACTCTTATTGTTGTTGCCGAGGTGCTATGTGCCCTCTAACAGCCATACGCGGTTTCTTCTGTTCCAGCCAGCATACTTGGATATCATCAACGCAGAGTCACATGCACTGTGTTCCAACGGGTATGTGTTGTTTACACCTGTGTTTAGCTGTACTATACAGCTGAATGAGTGCTATTCTTTCACTGTGTTCCACCGCAGTATGTGTTTTCTATAAACTGTGTTTAGCTGCTACTATAGTGGCAGTGTGACTACGTAAAAACATTTTTAGCCGATTTTGCTTTTCCAATGTTTGGTATTATAGCCATTTCTTGTGTTTGTTCGGCGTTACATGCTGTCGCCACAGGATGTGCCACTGAACTGACAATGTTCCTACTTTCAGGTTCAGAGGACTCACTTCAAGGTTTCTGTCGTGTTATCGGCCAGAAGTTTGACGATCTGCCGCTGATAAAGCTGCGGCTGGGACTGTGATCAGTCGGTTTCTCTCTATGTCACTGTATCTCTACCTCCTCTCCGTCTCTCTCTCTCTCTCTCTCTCTTCTCTCTCTCTCTCCTCTCTCTCTCTTCTCTCTCTCTTTCTCTCTCCTCTCTCTCTCTCTCTCTCTCTCTCTCTTCTCTCTCTTTCTCTCTCTCTCATCTCTCTCTCTCTCTCTCTCTCTCTCTCTCTCTCTTTCTCTCTATGTCGCCTCTATCTCTCCCTCCTCTCTCTCTTACTTCTCCCTCTCTCTCTCTCTTTCCTCTCTCTCTCTTTCTCCCTTCTCCTTCTTTATCCTCCTCTCTCTCTCACTCCTCCGTCTCGCTCTCTCTCTCTCTCTCTCCTTCTCCCCTCTCTTTCTATCTCCTTTCTCTCTCACTCATTACCCTCTCTTTCTCTACTGTTATCTTCTGCCCCCTTCTCTCTCCCTCTTCAGTTTCTCTGTCCCATCTCTCTCTCTTCTCCCTCGGCTTTATCTCTCTCCCTCGCTATCTCTCTCTCCTTTCTTAATTCTCATACCCCCAACACTCTCTCCTTCCTAACTTCACTCATCTCACCCCGCCTCTTCCTGCCTCACTACTTCTCTATACTCCTACCTACACCCTCACTCTACAACCTCTACCACTCACCCTCTCGCTATTGCAAATTTATCAGATTTTTTCTTCTGTGAAAGAAAACTGTTTGTCCGGTACATGTATTTGTATTCCTGAATTACATGCAATAAAGCATTTAACAATAATAATAATAATTCTTCACGGCTATCGAACGCAATAACGTTACCTTGGCATGTTTTGTGTGTTTTCAGCGTCATCGGCTGGCTGGAATTGAGATCGCTGAAGGAGCGAAGCCTAGCAGCGACCGCTGCACGCTCTCTCCGATTACGTGTAGTAGTTATCCGCTCCTGTACCATCCTCATTTCACGCTAACCTCTGCCGCTGCCCACGCTCTACCAGCGCACGCCGACCACTGTTAAGCAATCGCCGGGGCTACGCCAATGCTGATATAGGGAGCAGCTGCAGGGAATTGGCAGCGGTTGACGTCGTGGTCGGTGGTAGCTCGGCTGATGGCTGACAATTCTGTCAGCGGCTGGCAACAGCGGTTGGCGGCGGCATCCTCTCTTCCCCTATGATTAGCCGATTTCCATTCTGGCTTCGTTTCGGCTTTTTATAGTTCATTTACGGTTATCGACACTGACAGAAAATACAAAAAAAATTGCAGGTTGCGTTAAAATTCATAGGGAGGTGTAGCCTGCGGCGGGGCGAGGCCACACGGGCGGGGGAGGTGAAGCCTGGGTTAGATTGAGAGAGAGATTTGAAGAGGAAAATGCCGAGTGGGTGGCAGCTTCAGGTCGGTGTGGTGGGGGGGGGGAGCTCGATGCTTCTCTATTGTTTTATAAAGGCTGAGCCAACGTGCGTCTGTACAGGCGACGCTCACTGCGAGAGATGCCTCTGCCTCTGCCGTTTCCATGCCGACGACTCGGTGTCTCATCCGTGCTGCTCGCTGTAGCAACCACTCGTGCTCGTGGCGGCCGAGTGCGGCGGACGTCTGGCCGTGGAGTTGTACCTCGGATTATACCTGTTCTCTTCTGTACTCTCACTCTCTCTCTCGCCCTGTCCTGCCCTCTCTCTCTCTGTTTTTCTCTTGCTACCCCTCTTCCTTCCTTTCTCTCGCTATTTTTCCCCAGGCTTCTACTGCCTGTACGTGGCGTTTGCCGCCGGTACTAACCCGTGTCCATCTATTGCTGTTTTGCAGGCGAAAACACCGGAGCAGTGGGAGACAGGAAGCAAGAAGGTGGAGAGCTCCCCAGCATGCATCGGTGGATTCGGAAAGTAGAAGAGACACGGCCGCATACTGCGTGCGTGCGCGAGTCTATGCGCGTACGTGCATGTGTGTGCGCTAGTGCGTACGTCCGAGTGTTAGTGCGTGCATGAGGGTGTGAGTTTATATGCGGTTATGAGGCGATGTTCCACTGCTGTCTGTTCGTCTCTCTCGTCACTGAACAATTCACAGAGTAGCTGGTAGACACTTCTGTGAAGTGAGTAACCAATTGAGGGGTATATCGAATGAGAAATGCGCCTGCGATTGCGTGTGAGCATACTGCGTTAGAGTCGAGTGCGACTCCTTGTAACAGCACGAACCGGGAACTGCCTGCTGTGTGTATGTAGCTAGTAAAAATTTTTTTTATAAATTATCAAAATTAATATTATTAAAATAAGTTTATAAAGTCGTTAGCGGCGTCCCGGGTGGCAGGGCAACTGCGCAAAATTACCTAGTGAATAAAACCTGCAGCGAATGTGGGGTTGTACAGTACACCAATACGCACGTATGCTTTTATTTAGATCCGAATTACAGTTCATAACTCTACGCATGTTAACACATCTACCACGTTCCGCCAATGACGTCCTACACCGAAACCTTCACAATAGGGGGCGCCGGCATCGCCCAAACAGCATGCAGGTGGCGCCACCCATGAACAGACGAGAGAAGCAATGTGTCGTCGGTCTGGCGACGCTACCACTGCCCACCGTCACGGGACAGTTGCTACTAAGTACACTTCCACAGGAAAACACGATCCATCGATGAAATCACTGCACATCGAGCGATCGACAAAGTCTTATCATGTACATGTATTTTTAGCTAGCTAGAACACACAACGCAGGGGATATATAGAGATGAGGAGGGAGAAGATGAAAAACTTAAGATTTAATCGGGAACTTTTACCGGGGGGAGGGGAGCTAGATAGCGGGTAACGCGTAGCCCCCCCCCCCCCTACATCAACTAAGGGCGTGTCAACTTTACTGTGTTGTAAATTCCGCAATGCGGATGTGTTACCGTCGATAAATAAACGGCTTTCTATACGCCACTAAAAGTATTTCCCGGCTACGTGTGGTATCTCTGTCGAGCTACACTCACACACACTCACGCACTCCGCAAGCCTGACGAAACGCCGGCAACGGTCGCAGACGACAACTAGCTGCCGGTCGGTTAAGAAACACAACGCAACAAGCTACTATACGATCACAAAAACAGAAGAGACGTCACACTGGTGAGCCGTGACGAAGATCAATCACGCACCACGCGGAGAAACGTTACACTGGCGTGTGACCAGGATTACGGCCAATATTCTGACAGACAACGCGAGAAACGTTACACTATCTATCTTTATTTATCTATCTATAAGCATATATATATATACTGTTTTATACATATATATATATATATATTATATATATTATATATATATATATATATATATATGTATTATATATATACATATATTATACATAATATATATATTATATATTCACATGAGGTGTGTAGTAAATTAATTCCAAGCTCGCAAACATCTTCAATCACAATAAAACATCTTCAAAAGCTCGCACTGATCGATGCGACCATGATCATCACCACGACGTTAGCTGTCACTCATCTGTGCTAGCAGATCTAGCTAGATCTCATCAGTAGTTAATAATGACAAATCTTGTCACAATTAACTCCTGATCTCATGTAGAGTCCAGCAATCACGAGACGATCCAGCGCAGCGTGGCGCCCCCACATGGCGAATAGACGTACTATACTGCCATTATACGTGTCCGTACATATACGTGTTCAAAAGGAAACCTCACAGCGCCACACAATTTGTCACATCACGTTATACCACGTCGCACAATGTTATGCCACGTCACCATAAGTTATGCTACGTCACGCTATGTTATGCTACGTCACCATAAGTTATGCCACGTCACCATAAGTTATGCTACGTCACCATATAAGTTATGTTACGTCACGCTACGTTATGCTTCATCATGCAACATGCTACGTCACGCTACGTTATGCTTCATCAGACTATACACGCAATGGCATGCCATGTCATGCTGTTACACACAGCGTTGATGTACGTAGCATGTATTAACTTAGATATCTGCATACGGATGAATTTCCACGGAGAGAGCAATTTTGTTTTCAGGCAGCCATGCGTAATCAACGATTAATAATATGCCGAACGACCCCGAATACGCCGCGCTGATTGGCTAATCACCGACGATGACGCGGTGCGTGCAATGCATTGTGGAAAAATATTAATGGCTGCGCTCTACGTTAGCAGACGCCTGTGAAATTATCTTCAATAAACAAAACATTTTGAAAATTGCGAGAACTTTAAATCATATGACGATCTACAACTTGAGATTAGCAGTGAGTGATGAGAACTAGTCTAATATTGTGGATTTGATGAGGATACTAGTACTAGTAGTAGTAGTAGGCACTATGCAAATTTGCAACCTTTTCCACTGCGATCCGCATTATCGATTTGATCCACTTCTCTCTCCGTCTTCGTTATAGTCCCCAGGACATTTGAAGGCTAACATTTATGAGGTTATGACGTTACTAGTAGCCTACTAGTTACGCGTACGACGCATCCACCTCCGTGGCGATGAATCCGATGCAGATGATGATGAACTTAATGACGATGGTGTACTTCTACTTCTACTTCTACTTCTACTTCTACTTTTATACTGGACAGTCGGTGAGGAATAACGTCCAGGGACTGCGCAACTCCATGTGCATGTGAAAGATTATTAAGTGTAGTTTTTGAAGAGACTGAGCCAGTCAATGAGAACAACAACAGTGCAGGCAGCGATAGCGAAGATGAACATGATGAAGATGAAAAGGATGGCATGCATGATGCAGGTCCCTGTTGTTGATGAGGTTCAACAGACATTGTCGGATTTGTCCAATCTGCATGCTCAGCCTCCGTCGCTACTAAAAATAAAATCTACGAGGACAACGACGATTTGAATTGACAGAAATAAGGGATTATGGTTGCTGGTAAGCTTAAAATCAATGATTGGGCAGTCCACTGCCTTCAGTGAGGAATTTGTTTATGACCTCATGACTNATAATATATATATTATATATTCACATGAGGTGTGTAGTAAATTAATTCCAAGCTCGCAAACATCTTCAATCACAATAAAACATCACAATAAAACATCTTCAAAAGCTAGCACTGATCGATGCGACCATGATCATCACCACGACGTTAGCTGTCACTCATCTGTGCTAGCAGATCTAGCTAGATCTCATCAGTAGTTAATAATGACAAATGATAAATACATTTTTTGTTTTCAGGCAGCCATGCGTAATCAGTGTATATATATGACCGGACGATTGATTTTTAGTTTTTGATTTATTTTGAACACATTCAATTTTCACTTGCCTAAGTCTCAAAGTCCACAGTGATCGATACAATGTTCAAATTTAACATTTTGTAGACACTATTTCTCACATCATGTTTTATTACATATCAATCATGTTTTATCATGTTAACATCTAAATCATGTTTTATTACATATTAAATGTATCGGATCGAAATATCGAAAACAAAAATATCAATAATCGAATCAAAATAATTTCATACTAATGACAGCCCTATATGTACATGAACTAAATCTTGGTTGTGCTTCTTTTTAAACAGGTCAGGATGGAGGCCAGCTTTGAATGTGATGTATGCCACCAGAAATTCGGCGTCAAATCGAATCTGACGAGGCATGTCAAGACGCATACGGAGAAGGAGTTCAAATGCACATCCTGCCCCAAAACATTTACCCTCAAACAGAATTTGGACAGGCATGCTCAAACGCATATGTACCCCACGATAAGGCTTTACAGGAATGGGCAAGAAGCTTTGTTGGTATCGACGCAGGAGGCAAAGGTCTATAAGAAGCTGCATGAGAAGGCCAAGACTTTTGATAACATTTGGCTGCAGCCAAAATCAGCAGAAGCAGCGGCGAAGAAGAAGGGAGAGTATCTGTGGGAGGGGAATGTAATACTGAACTTTGGCCAGTACGCCGGAAAGAGTATAACTTGGCTGGTGGAGAATGATGTGGGTTACATCAACTGGCTGATGGGCCAGTACTGGGAACAAGGTGAAAGCTACCCTCCAGCAAAATGGGTGAAGGACACCATCCTGGACTACGTGCAGCACTTCACGCCTGTGATGCGCCACCTGGATGCAACACGGAAGGTGAGTTACTAGGGAATTCAGAGAAACTTGCTTAAGGATACTCTCAAGCTTTTGACCAGGTATTGCTCTAATGAAAATTAAACGTGTATTGGCGAATGAATCAAATCAATCATTTGTTTTATTTATAGAGGAGATATATCTCTATGCTCAAGCCAAAAAATTTCATTAAATTTCCAGCACCTAATTATGGTACTACACACATTTTGAATTTTTATGTATAAAAATATTCTATGAAAGGATATTTCTCAACTACCAGAAAGTGTGAGGATACAAAACAGATACAGATACATACATACAGACAGACAGACAGATAACATAGGCCACATTTACAATGATATATATTTCCTTTTTTTTCAGAGGCTTGATTTGAAGAAAAGAGTAAAAGATGAAGTGCCAGAACAATATATCGAGGATGCTGAACTCTTGACCATTGCTGGTAAGTTGTACTCTGTAAATTGAATTTGAATGTCAAACTTGGTAGCACATGAAATTTATTCAAGTGGTTCAGTATCAAGACTACAAGAATTGAAAATTGTAACAAATACAGTAAATGTGTACATGACGAATCTCAGTTTGACACAGTTACCTGAGGGAAAATTTAAAGTAAAGAAATACAAAAATGTTGTATAGCCTAAAAGAATGAAAAAGACTGTTCGAGATGAAAACTGGTTACTTTTTCAGATCTGTCCTACCTACTATGATAATTTTCTCCATCTATTATTTTCAGAAAATGTTCTCCAGGACTCACAAGTGCCAGTTGACACATCTGTGACTTCCATGGATAAACTGATTTCGGCGGTGCCATACATATCGTCTGCTGCTGCTGCTACATCTCATGATGCCGCTGATGTCACCGAAGGCTGGCAGAAGGCATGGGACGACAATATGTACCTGCCGAACTTGAAATGGCTGAAGTCTGATGGCCCTCACGGCATCTTTGAGGAGCCACAGAAGTATGTTTCGGGCAAGGGCCAGACATTAACAAGGAATATCCTGAAAAGCAAGATGGAGTTTCATCCACCCCCTCTCCCCACATCCCTAAAAGGATCTCTCCCATCGATGCACATGTTCTTTAGTGCCCCAGTTTACTTCTGGAGGCCTGTGGGGGTTATGGGTGTGAAGATCAAGTGCCCAAACCCTACGTGCCCTGCTCCACCAGACAGCTTCATCACCAGAGCTGGATACGCACCGGTTTCTAGGCAGGTGTGTGGACTGAGTTGTGACTATACGCTCTTGACAGAACGTCTGAAGTGCCACCATAACTAGGGTAAGCAGGACAAGTCTCTGCAATCCAGATGGAATGCCACTAGCCCTAGCATCGTCATGCAGCCCCAGCAGTGCGTATGATGTGCCCAGCCATCCTCGTTGGGAAGCGAGCTGTTGACAGGAGCGTCGTCTCTCTCCTCTCCGATCGGCTGAACTCGGTGTCGATGTCTAAGGTCCATCGCATGGTGCAGCAAGGCCATGATGACTGGTATGCTGGTCGAAGAGATCTGTATCAAACGCTGTTAATGGAGGCACATACCGCTGGGTCAACCTCAACATCACAGCGTGGGATACTGCCCTTCACCACATACCAGTATACACCTCCCATGCCACCTTCTCCGATACCATCTCACAGGACTCTTCGGAGAGCTCATCTTCTCATGGAGATGGAGGAGATGTGCATATACCGGGACTCCATCCTCAGCACGACAGGGGAGATACTGTCAATTGATGGAACAAAGCAGGTGTGTATTTATCTTAACATTGGTATTCTTAAATAAAGTGTTGATGAACTTTGATTATGCAACAATTAATATGTCATTCTGTCTACAAAATACATACAGTACGTACATAGTGTTTCTTATTTACAAGCATCCATTATTGTAAAACGCAATTTAAAGCAATGTAATATGATGATTGTATTTAATTTTTATTAGTTGATTGATTAATTTTATAATCTTATTCGAGTTTTGTTTCCCATGCAGGTTCTGAAGAAAATATACGGTGATGGTCAGGGCACCATGCAGTACCTCACCAGTATATTGAATGAGTGGGCCAGTTTGTTACGACTGTGGTGGTGGCCTCTGAGTCTGAGCAGGCATACTCAAGGATGGCAAGCGGTGTGATCGCTCGCTTCAAAAGGGCCAATGCTTCTCCAGTAAAAGTGCTGTATGCCGACAACAATTGTTGCAGGTACGTCATATTTACTATGTTATTAAGATATTATGAAAATAAGAAATATACTTGAATATGTACTCTTTCATTTTTAATGTAGCTAATAATCACACGTTTAACTTTAAAGAATGATTGTTTACTTCACTTTTCTTCCTCGTGATTCTCTAGCGGTACTTCACAGGTCCATGCTTGCTGCTGAGATGATGCATGATGATCGGAGAAGCTCTGAGACAACATTTGACACCTAAGAACATCCTGTGATCATACAAGATCCGCATGTGTACATCATTTCAAATTGTATTGATTGGTATTGATTGATTGATTGATTGCATTTCATTTCTCCAGGGGGAGGCGCGTCTAATCATCGGTACGCGACCCGTATACCGAACCCTGCGTCGACTGATGATGGTGCCCGTCGCGGCACATCCGGACTGGCTGCCAACAATTGGGATTGCGGTGCGTCATCAAGCAGGCACGCACGCCCAAGGTACGCATCGTCATCAGGTGCCCATGGCTGGAAGCCATATTGGCAGTACAATCAGGCGCGACCAGTGATGCTTCCCATCTCTGCAATCAGGAATGGAGACAAGGAGAAGTACTCGTCTCTATCTTACTCAGAGATGTTGTCCTTTGTGAAGCCGTACCAAGCCGCGACATATGTCCGCCGTGTAACTCGTGGTGTTCAGGTGAATCATTTGCAAACTCATAAATTAGAAACCATTAATTCATCATCTGTTTATTTGTAAACATAATATTATTGTTTTATTTTTATGCTATGAAATAGAACTGTCAGGATTCCTGATTAAATATCAACTATAATTTATTACCCCGTATTATTATTTTATTTTAGGTATAAGTCAGAGACAATTTAGATTCTTCAACTCAAAACTTTATATACTGACACATTTTTACTAACTTATTTTGCTGTTGTTATTTGTTCTTTCAGGAGAGTGCTGCTGCGGTTGAGCACATCCTGAGTGAGTTTAAGGGACCCGCAGGACTGGACATCGACGGCATCGCTCTTTTCAAATCCATTGAAGCAGTAGATGCTCACTGGGCGACTGCTAGCAAGCATCTAAGTTGCATGCAGGTGTGCCAATACTTTTTTTGGACTTATATTAACAAATGAAAGGTTCTCGTGCTATTATTTTATTCTGTTATACAATATTTAAATCACTCTATACCTTTAAAGTAGAATTTTAAATAATTAACTAATTACAGATGCACTAAAATTTCCATATTCTTTTTCTGTGACAAGCATCGAGCACAAAAGGAAGACCACTAAATATTATTAACTGCATTGTAAAAGACACGTACTCAGCAAAAGTAATACAAAACTTTATGATGGAACGGTAATGCTAGCCAAACATTGTCATTGTGTTTTTTTGAATGTATTTTACTTGTAGTTGTAACATTATTTCTTTTCGTTGCCTGTTTTTCCCTCAGGATCCGCCCAACATCCCCCTTTATGTGGCTATGAAGCCAGTTACTCTGAATGGCGTCCGGCTGACAAAGTTCCGGTGTCGCAGAGGCAGCAACGTGCTGGAGGGTCTCCACTCTCACCTGCTCCATGCCGTCCTATCACATCGTTGCGCCATCATCTCCTTTCAGGTGCATATTACATCCTAATAAACATCCTAATAAACTTACCAACATCCAAAGAGTAGATAAATTAATCTCAACTCAGTATCAATAATTTCAAGCTGATTGTCAAAGCTAATCCTACATTTTCTTTAACTCTATCACACAAACCTTTGACAATTGTGTTTTTATAATACTTTATTTACTGTGTATAGCAATAAATTTACTCTATAAGTAACATTCTAAGTGCTTTACACTTGAATAGACTACCTACATTTCGAACAATATTTGTTCCTTTTACATTATTATTTTCTTTTGTTTATTTTGCAGGTTTACCTCCTTTCCTTCGCTGTCCAGTGGAACAGCAGGATGGAGAAACTGAAAGTGGTCAAAAAGAAGGGCAAAACGACAACTACCACCGACCCGTGACAAATCCAGCGCATGAACCATCACGCTGAGATCCTTTTCGGCAAGGACCACCTCTATGAACCGAACTTTGTTGCCCCCATGCAGCCACCTGCCGAAGCTGAAGAGGAGGAGCTACTTGGCGTAGAGTACGCTTACTCGCAATCATCTAAGTCGGCCTTTTCATCAAAGGAGTACTACATAGATAAAGGTGAGAAATACTTTCACAGGTCGTGTATGTGTAGAAATAATCAAAACATCCAAAACTGGAGTTAGTTATACACTACATCCTCATTGCTCCATGTCTAAAAGATTATTTACTCTTTACTTCTTCTTTCTTGTATCTGTTTTTCCTACAGCTGAAGAGGAGGACTGAAATGAAGCAGAGGTAGATTCATACTTTAATTGTAATGTTTTACCATACTTAATTGTTTTTTTCTTTCTTTGATCTGTTTTTCCTATAGCTAAAGAGGAGCATGCGGCTGAAGAGGATGATAACGATGGCAACAATGATGAGGAGGACGAAGGGATTGAAGATGCTGCAACCGATGATGCGGATGATTCTACCGTCTCTAGCTCCATGGATGCGTGTTGACAAAAGAGGAACAAGTACAAGAAGAGATGAGCCCTGTCATGCAGGACGTGTTAATGAGGAGCCGGCACTTGCACTTGCCTGGTTTCCAGCACGTTGAAGCCCTCGCTTTGCTGCTGGTAAAGCTGACTGAAGGGGAGCAGCATCTCATCCCATCAGGGCTCAGAGAGCAAATATCACAGGCTGCAGGTGAGCTGGCAGAGCACGACAGATCTGCTCGAAACTTTGTCAAAAAGTATGAAAGTAAGTGGGGATACACTTTATTTGGATGCCGCCTCGACCCAAAATCTCCACAGGCCAGTGCAGCCCAAAAGACTAAATTTTGGTGGATGAAGTTTGCACAGGCTGCCCCAATCACTGAGGAGTCGAGGCTTTTGTACCTGGTCATCCAGGTACTTAAGAATCAGCCTACTGTTTCTTCCCGGTCTCCTACAAAGACTGCTACCAACATCAGGACAAGGTACAAGAGGATCTGTGATAGGCTTTATGACGACCCAGTCCTCTCCACCACACTCAATCTCCCCCTTCCAAACATCAATTCCAAATCCATCACAAATTTCATCGGCAAACAAGAGAAGCGCTCCAATTTACTCGCAACTACTCAGCCCAAAGTTCTCCCACATCGAAAAGTCCTTTCTGTTGATACCATCCCAGATCCTGTCGAGCTCCCTGATATGTTGCCAAAGCCAGATTACAAGCAGGTAAAGTACAGCATTGTGCCTCGTGAGTCTGGCAAGCGTCGAGGTGAGAAGAGGCGTTCCCAGCTTGATGAACCGGGGACTTCTTCATCTGCAAAGCCGGTCACATCACCTACAGCACCGTTAACATCTACAACACCTGAATCTCATACTGATGACTACGAACCTCAACCAAAAATGCCAAACATTGCCCCCAAGGTAGCAGGCATACCAGTCCTTGTTGTTTTGCCCTCACAACCCACAGCACGTTCGGTATCATTACCTTCAACAAGTGGTACTCCCTTACAGATAAGGCCTGCCCCTCCGAAAGTATTAAAGCCAACGACCCGCATGCTCCCAGATCCATCCACAAAACCTTGTGCTGCTTGCAAAGAGCCTAAATGTCGAGGGTTGAGGAAACGGTACACGCCATCCAAGCCAAAAGTACTTGGGAGCAAGCAAAAAATCTTCACCTTCTGCCCGCAAACAAACAGATCAACAACTCCGGGTTTTGAGAAACAGTATGAAAGTTATGAAGATTTTAAACGGTCTGTGGATGAAGAGTTGGAGAGAAGGAGGAGTTTGTCTGAAAAATGAGTTGTTGAAGAGTTGGAGAGAAGAAGGAGTTTGTCTGAAAAATGAGTTGTTGACCTGTCGGTTTTTAGGCAGAAGGTCCCATGCTTTATTTCATATTGTTATCATGAATGGTGATTTTTATATCACCAAACATAATGCCAAATCTTGCATTTTTTGTTCATTTTTAGGCTCAATACATTGTAATTGAGTTATATTATATCTTATTATATCTTATATCTTATATGAAGTAGCGATTGTTATGCATTTCTGGTTAGAAGTCGTTGAACTTTATTTTTTGAATGAAATATTATAATATCATCTTGTATTTCAGGTATATATTCCTTATATTTATATTGTGATCATGAATGGTGATTTTTATATCACCAAA